TGTCGGCTTTGCTCCTATGTTGTGCAGCCCAAGAAAATCTAGAATTTCTAGGTTGTACAAATCAGAGATGTTCACAAGTCTTTTTTTGCAAGTCCAAGTCAAGTCTCAAGTCTCTAAAAATTAAAAGTCATATGTCTCTTCTGGTTGTAATGAGCCTTCTGTCATCTGCTGCTTTCCGGTCTACTAAGAATACTGCACAGCTATGTCTAAGAAATTCCAAGCATTTACTGTATTATTATCACTCCTTTATCTATTAGCATACAGTATCAGTACTGATTAGTTGTTTGTTATATTACTTTAAACAGGCTATTGCAATGCAATATGAAGAAAACACACAATGAATGCTTTCCTTTAAAGGAAACTGTATTCTTCCAACATGAACATACAGCAAACATACAACAAATATAGAAAATGTTACACCTCACCCAGTCAAAGACATTGTAATTAACATCATTCCAATTAGTGCAAAACATCACACTTTAGCTAAATGCAAACAACTTGTAAGCAAAACACTTAAAAGTACTTTAAACACTTGTATATGTTACTTCTGTGTTATTTGCAATAAAAAATGTGTTCACAAAAAAAAGCAAAAAACATATAGACTAACTCAGGATAACAGGAAAATATTGCTATTTCCTCAGGCCATTAGACTCCTGAACCAAAACTCAACTTGACCACTCCCCCAACCACCAGGACTCAGCCTGACACACACATACACACACCCTTGCACATATTTTCATTTCTGATTACATTATTTAGATTATATTTAATTACAATATTTACATCATATTAGTTTGATTGTATTCATATTTATCTTATTTATTCTATTTATAAGGCCAGTTTAGGAGTAACCAGGAGACATTTCACTGCATGTTACTCTGGGACTTCTGTATGTGACAAATAAAGTAATCTTGTAATCTTGTAATCTTGTAAATCTAACATTATTAGTCATGCAATAATAACTAATCATACAATCTTAGTTATAGTTAGCTACATCTGCTGGACACAAAATTAACACCACTCAGATGCTGGTAAATCATGCAAGTGGCTGGTACTGTATGCTGCACTCACCAGCCAAAATAACAATGGCAATCTATTGAGTGGCTGGTAAAATTTCAACATTCACTAGTCTAGCCATTTTGCCAGTGGACAAAAAAGTTAAAGGTTTGCACTCTGCAACCGTATTGTTTAAAGGGACATTGTGTAGTGTTTTAAGTATTTTATTAGCTAAAATCAATGTCTTCATTCATAAATGTGTCCTCATTGGTATAAAATTACCTCTGCCAGTGATCTGACTTATCCTCCTAAGCGAAGAATTTGTTATCTGTATATACATTGGACGGGCAAGTCCATGGAGGCTTCCATGTCGTTCCGCCATTTTGAAAAACTATACTCACTGAGAGGGACATAAAGCTCTAGCCTACCTGTCTAGCTAAATCACAACGCGTTTTCGTTCAGAGCCAGCGTCACGTGATTGAAACCAGCTATAACAGAGAAGGAGATCAGTGAGAGGCGCTTGTCACTGCCCCGGCACATTTGAAAGTCTGCACTGCACTTTAGTTAATAATGGAGGATCATACTTATGCCGAGCCACAGGAGAAGGAATCCTCGTCGGCAAAAAAGCGGAATTAAAAAGGCAACGTGGCTGGCAAATTAAAAAAAAAGAGGGTCAACATCGGGGTAGCTTTTCCCAGGTGGAAAGAGCTAATGAAGGAGAAAGACTTTCAAAGGGACGCTGAAGTTGCCTGCTTTCTCCTCGACAGGTAGGCTTCTTGGTACATAACGGCTACCGTAGTTGCAATACGCATTTGAAAACGCGAGGCACTAGAGAGCACTATTCGTTTGAATGCAAAATACAATTTCACTGCTAGATGGGAGAAATTCCTACACAATGTCCCTTTAATTACACTGGGTCTCTAATGACACATTCCTCTATCCTCTCACTCAAACTCAGTGTAATGGTAACCTGGTAAACCTGCAACATTAACAATATGTCGTCAACAATTAACCTGTAACCTGCCTGTAAGCCGACAGTATAACTATGTATTTTTCTACGGTTAACATTAGCCAGTAAGTTAGATGGTGGCAACTTAGATGATTTTCGTTACCCGACCTTTTTTTTTTTTTACGTCATGTCAACGCCACTCAATGCAAACAAGTGCGACAAGCAAACTAGCATTCACTCATCTATTCAAATATTCAGTTACAAAGCTAGTAGCAAGCTAAGTGCGTTACATAGCTGATGCTGAGCTAACCGTCCATATGCGCTAATGTGACTGACCTATCCGGGTGAGTTCTCAGGTGCCTGATAAAACTTGATGTGATGGATCAAGCATCCTTGATTCGGGTACCGCAGACTTTGCAGTCAGCGCTCCTTTTGTTGGTGAAGTCCTGTTTGAAGTTTTTATAACCAAATGGTACAGCAGCAGCTGCAGGTGTCCGCCGGTCGCCATAGGCGTCATCCGAGGTACTAGTGTGTGAGGCCGCGAGGCGCGCACCCAATGCGTAATATGTTTACCATGATTACCATGAAAAAAAAGGAAGGAATCACATTAAGCTTGTCAGACGTTTCAGAGTTTCCTCAATATTAATACGCCAAAAAAGAAAACATAATGATTGTTCACGAGTCCCAAAACATGAGTCCGAGTCGAGTCTGAAGACTTTTGAGCACGAGTCCAAGTCAAGACTGAAGTCTCTGTGTGTGCGACTTAAGTGCGACTCAAGTCTGAGTCGCAAACTCGAGTCCCCATCTCTGGTACAAATACCAAAAAGCTACTTAATATAAACATTAACAACACAAAGAGTATTAATGACTACTAATAATAAATGTTTGCAGTTGGAGGTGTCCAGTTTTACCTCTCTTTTATAATAGGTATTGTCTATGAGGAAAATGCTTTTTAGGCTGCAGGGAAGTTTCAGTGGTTGGCCACAAGGACAAATTGGCATCAAGGCTGACTCCGCTGGACTGTTTCCAGCTCTCTTAATACTCCATCCACAGTGCTATCCAATTCTGGTTTACTTGGTATCTTTCTTGGCCTTATTACTTTGAAAATATCCACTTATTATCACAGTTTTTTGATGGATGTAAATCTTTGAGTTGTGTAAGAATTTGTCTGATGATTGATTTATCTCATACTGTGGGTTGCCTAACAACATGACTCTAAACATGGGCTGTGTCACTCATAATATGTGAGTTAACCTGTAAAATAGAGAAAATTGATTTAATTTAACATGTGAATTATCATCATTTTGTGATTAGTGTACTGTCACATGAAATTTACGCATGAATCAAATGCGCATACATTTCGCACTGTTAATTGTAATAATTAATATTGTAGCTATTTTTTTTACTGTGGTGTGTTTGTTTGCAGAGACTTCTGAAGTGAATTCATGTTATTTTTTACTTTTTTCCCCTCTATACTATATAGTGAATACATTTCATACGAATTCAGACTATTTAAATAAAATGGCGGTGGTCGAATGCAGTTCCCTGCAGTAACAGTAGCAGTGAGTGATCTTGGACACAGCCTGTATAAACCTCTCATCCATAATTCTTATCAGATTTGTCTTTTTTCCAGTTTCTTTACTTTTTCTGTATCACATACATGAGCAAGGCAAATTCAACCTGCATGTTTTGATGGTCACGTGCAAGATTTGCATTTCTGCGGAATTTGGAGTTTGCCTAGCAACGTGAATCTAAATGTAATGTATGAGTTGTTCAGTGAGTGCGTCTACTCATCATTCAATATGTGATTATCTCTGACATTTCTGTTGTTAAAATGTAACATGCAGGCTTCAATTATTTTTCCAGCACATGTGAGTGTGTTTGGTGTCTCTTTGTGTGTGTGAGACATTGTGAGAGAGTAGTGTTGTTGTGATCTGTACGGTGGCCCTGAGGTGCAAATCACAATGGCAAATCAGAAAACACAACGGCAAATCAGAAAACACAACGGCAAATCAGAAAACACAACACAAAAAGAGAAAACACAATGGCAAATCAGAAAACACAACAACATTAACCAAACCGGAAAAGGTAGGTACCCTCGGGCGACATGAGTCATCGCTGATTGGACAAAAGAACTGGTCCGTCCTTTGAACCGGAAACACAACACCGCCAGACCTATGCGTTCAAGTTGCCAAATCTGAAAATTCAAACCACTACATAAGGAAAATATTGTATTAATACGTCCATGTTAATGTGGGATACCTAAGAGAGGTAGAAACAGGGGTTCCAATAGTCATATCTATGTGTTTTCTGATTTGCCGTTGTGTTTTCTCTTTTTGTGTTGTGTTTTTTGATTTGCCGTTGTGTTTTCTCTTTTTGTGTTGTGTTTTCTCTTTTGTCGTTGTGTTTTCTGATTTGTCGTTATGTTTTCTGATTTGCCGTTGTGTTTTCTCTTTTTGTGTTGTGTTTTTTGATTTGCCGTTGTGTTTTCTCTTTTTGTGTTGTGTTTTCTCTTTTGTCGTTGTGTTTTCTGATTTGTCGTTATGTTTTCTGATTTGCCGTTGTGTTTTCTCTTTTTGTGTTGTGTTTTCTGATTTGCCGTTGTGTTTTCTCTTTTTGTGTTGTGTTTTCTCTTTTTGTGTTGTGTTTTCTGATTTGCCGTGGTGATTTGCACCTCAGGGCCACCGTAGATCTGTAATTCAGAAGTGAAATATGCTGCAGGAAGATAGGTCGCAAAAGGGAAAAGGTACATGACTGAGTTCTTGTGCTTTTGGACATGTATTCAATAAACACACCATAACAGGCCAACATGTTCACTGTCAGAGTGCTGAAGGCCAATCTGCTTAAAGGTCCCTTGTGTCACTTAAAATAGAGATCATGGGGAAAAAAAGCCCCAGGAAGATGTTCCCACTCAACATGTGCAGCTGTGGTATTCTGACAATGATTTCCCTCACAATACAACACAATGTCACCTTGGCAAGAGGAATGTGTGTGTTTAGGAGCTTCAAACACTGACCTCCACAGACAAATAAGGAAGAACATAACAAGAACTTACACATGTCCGGTCTCATGAGCCACAACGAAGGCTGAGGAGAAGCCGTCTTCATGGTTGAGGGTGCAGCTCCGGACTGGGTGGCACATCCCTGTGACTGGTGCATAACCTGAAGGACATCAGAAGAAAGAATGGAAGGTACTGTAAGAAATGATTAAATGAGGAATGAGAAAACGGTCCAAATGTTGAAATTAAATCATTCCTCATGTTTGTACTCTTCCCGTGTACAGTTTCAGTTTCTGTATCTGTTCTTGTATGGCTGGTTAATTCAAATGATACCTAAGTGCATTACAGTAAACTTATCCCTTACAAAAAATATTGTTACAAAAATCTGTTTTGGACAAAATCAAATTGCTACCTCAACTGGCAAGATATTTTCCAATTCAGGTAGTGTGACCTCGATACACACAGGACTTTCACACCAGAGACTGAGGTTAACATCCCACCTGTGATGGGTTTATGCTACTAAAACACTTACAAAGTTAAGATCAGCTAAATATGATCATTCTCTAAATTGCCATATTACAAAAACATCATCATGCTTCAGTTACCAGCAAAGGATACTGTCAACATTAACTGTGAAAACAATTGAAATACACTGGCAGTAAACACCAGATTTATTCAATATATAAGTTAATTTGTTATGTCAATAAAAAATAGAAATGGTAGATTACGTTTTATCTCTGGAGGATCTTACATTTTTCATGTTGTCCAGAAAGAGGCAAACTGAAGACGTCAGTACCTTGTATTTCCAAAAACTCTACATCCTAGTTTTTTTGTATTGTTTTTGAATGTATTAAAATACTGAGTTCCAAAGAAATAGTACATAAAGTCTGTGGATTATTTAGAGTAACCAGAACATTGTTTCCAGAAAGAGAGAGAGAGAGAGCTGCTGAATTTTTCAAATGTAATTTTTTAATGCTTTGAGCCCCAAAAAAACATTCACCTACTGTATACTGGAGTGAAGGCAGGAGTTTCACAAAACTGGGCAAATGAAACTCATATTATTCCATGGGAAAGTTATTCAGCCTTCGACACACATATATTTACTTGGGTGGGCTGCCGGTATATTAAGGGTCAGGGACTCATTTTAGCATTTTGCAGAGAGAGAGAGAGAGAGAGAGAGAGAGAGAGAGAGAGAGAGAGAGAGAGAGAGAGAGAGAGAGAGAGAGACGTTCTGAACATGTTGCCTGCCAATAATTACACAGTTGGTTGTCAATTCATAATTTAACAATTAATGCATTTTAATACTCAATTAATAATTTTGTTGAGAATAGTAAATATAAATAAACAAGGCTACACTAGAAACACAAGGCTCTACACCCAGTGATCCGTAATAGGTATCGGCTAATACTGCTTTCCGTGAACTTATCTTTTAAGTAGGACGTGTGTGCATTTCTGTCTGTTATGAATAATGAATTGTGTGTGTTTACATGTATCACATATGTGTCAGGATTGTGATGATACATGTGAACATGAGCTCTGCAACAAAACAAGAAACATGATACAAACATAGCAGGAGGGGGAGGCGTAGTGGGAGATTCAGCATGGAAGGAAGGAAGGAAGGAAGCATTCCATATTGTACACCTTCAGGATCATTAATTATGACAGAAATTCATATTTTTTTTACAGTTTACAGCTGCAAACACATTGTTGACATTAATAATGAGAGTATAGGAGCTACAGCTGGCAGCACTGAGGTACCTTAACTGTGCCAAAATTAGAATAAACGTGTTGTTTTATCTAATCCTTGCTCTGTTCGGTTGTTTTGCCACTTTACTGACAGTAACAGACCTGTAGCTGCAACCTAATGAATAGAGATTAAGCTTGTTAAGCACCAAAACACAAATAGATAGATGAACCACACACTGCCAGGCAAAAGAAAGACATTAGGGAATATAGATTTTGGTGCAGCACTAATATATATTTGGTGCCGTGCCAGTAATAATGGCCTGTCCTGAAATCCTAAAATTATTGATCATGTAGACATCCAAACCGCAATCAAGCCAGTTTGTTTTCATTCTGTGAACTTCTTGAATGAGTCATATTGCCATGTTTTTTTTAATTGTTGATTTATATATATATGTAGATGTATATAACCACAAATACAAAAACTGGAGTTGAAATGAACTAAAATAAACAGAAAAGCAACCAAACTGACCTAACAATAAACACCAACAACAAACAAAATGATATTGAAGTCAAATTTAAAAACAGAGAAAAAAAAATTAAATGAAAATTTGAATGGAAAAGCAAAGAATAAACCCTGATATGACCTTGCTCTTTGGCATCAGGGGGGAAAATAGCAACACTCAGTGCTGCCTCAGACAAACATAATTGACTCTTCATGCGTTATGCTTTCCCTAGGGTGTAATTCACTCTGGGAATTGGGGGGGGGGTGAAGTTCTCAAAATCTAGTTTTGTTCCTCTTGCATTTAGAGTTTTGGGTGAATGTCTAAACAGTGCACTCAGTCCATCTGTCTTACTCTAGATGAGAAAATTCTCATGAGAGTTTTTAAATATCCGGATTAGTTCATTTGATGGCCCGTTTCATCGTTATGCACTCTCACCAAAAGCTGCAGCATAGAGCGATCAGGGATTATTTTAAGGCCTGCAGATTGCACACAAATATGGACTCCAAAACCACCCAATATTAACATTAACAATTTATAACCTAAACCAGACTGCTTAAACTATATTCAACCCTTAACCCTTGATTTTAGTTTTTCTTTTTCTTTTGTAACTGAAGTAACTGAACTGAAGTTATCTGTTGTTACTGAAGACAGTAACAATATCTGTCTATAACTTAATAAGGTCAGTTGCAATGCTTTATTGCTTTGGTGCCGCTCTAAGTAACCAGTAGGACATACAATTGAAAATGACAAGAAATAACCAGAAGAAGAAATCCACAAAATTAATTGGGACCTTTCAGTTGCAAAATCAGAAAGGATAGCAGCCAGGGTGTATATCATGTGTTGTTACGAAGTGTTAGTGCATTAATAACACCATAATTAAGAAAGCACATATTCGTTATGGAAGAATGATGAATTTTTAGATGATACAGTGCTATGGGAATCAAGACAGGAGGTCTAATGGCCCCAAAATAATAGTAAATATTGATAATCCCTAAAAAATACCTAAATTCCTGAAACCAGAATGAGACACCACAGAATACACTCTACTCTAAAAGGTTTCAGTACAGAGAGAAACTCATCTGAGGAGCCTTTGTCACTGCAATTAAGTTTAGAAGTTGTGTGTGAATTAATCCAAACATTACTGAATAAAACCGATGCCTTTAAAGCTAGTTTGAGCCTCAAGCTTGCAGTGAAAGCTAAAGTTATCATCCCTCACAAGCAAATGAGAAACAGAGCACAATAATAAATTGTTATTATAAATAATAATAATAATAATAATAATAATAATAATAATAATAATAATAATAATAAATTTTATTTGTAAAGCACTTTTCATAAAAGAATCTCAAAGTGCTACAGAAACCAAGAAACAAAATAACAAAAAACACTAAGGGCAATAACACATTAAAATGTGGTCAAGATAGAGACCTTGTTGCTGTTGGCAGACGAGCATGCATGGGGAAGAATTACACAATATTTCAATATATTTCCTGCCTTTTCCCTGGTGGTCTGACTAAGTCGCCAAATTTGTCTTTTTTTTTCTCTATTTTTTGCTATTTCTAGTCGCTAGAAATAAAATCGTTAAAATTTGAAAAGTCTGAAAAGTTGCTAAATCTTGCAAGAAAGTCACCAAGTTGGAAACACTGGTCTTACCACTCTTCCATTCAAACTGAATTACTGAATTGCACCTGTCCTGCATCTGGACGGCCTAATCACAACTGTTTTTTTAATATGGGAAGGGTTTAATAAGAAGACTGACAGATGATTGGTTGAAGGTCTGTCCGATTGTGCCCAGAGGCATTTTGGTCTGCACCTATTAATAACACCCCTTGGAAACTGAAAATTACTGGAGCAGATCCAGGACAATTTGCATTTACAAATAAGTCTGGCACTGCTAAGCTAGTTGGGCCCCAGTTAGCCTAAAGTTATTTAAACTCAGTTTCTGAGAAATCATGCTTTTTCTGTTAGTTTGATTTGGCAGATGAGTTTAAATCTTCATTGTTGTTATTGGGAACAAAATGCAGCACATTAGCTGCTGAATCTGACCCTAAATGTACCCTTAATTCAAGAGTGAATTGATTTAATGAATGTATGAATAGATTTCTAGTTGAAGCTTTGGCTCGCTGTTGGTTTAAATAACAGAGTATTATGTTAGTTAACAGGACATTTCTTACCAAAATGCTCACTGACATTCACAGTTGAATTTTCTTGTCATGGTTTTCTGTTCACAACCTTTTCACTGCCCATATTTTCTAACACTGTAGCTCATCTTTGTAGTGATGATTCAGCCAGGGGATATCCATGACCATTCAAGCCAAGAAGCAAAGAAAAGAAGAAAATGAAAGTGACTTGACTTTTGGAAACCTTATACGTGTAGAATGTCTCCTTGCACTTTGAACTTCCATTACATAAGTAGGCCCATTATACGCTAGATTGTGCTCAAAAGAGGAGACACGGATTGTACCAATTTTGAAAGCTTTTCTGCACTTGACAGAATGATCTGCACATCTGGTAGTTTTATTAAACATTCCCCACCTCACATAATGAGATTAACTTTTAATTTACTTTAAAGCACATAACCCACTGTGTAGTAGCTCATACTGAGAAAGCAGCCGGACATTTTGAGAACATCCGCTCTGCCTTTTTGGCAAAGTTGAAGTCTCTGAATGACGCAACGAGGCTGAGCGTTTTCTGATCTGCTGGCCACATTGTTAACATATATTTAAGTCATGATAAAAGGTTATTTGAAGCTAAAAAAAACAAAATTGTTGTTGTTTCTGGAGGGAATATGTCTCATTTGAGTGATAAGAAAGGAATGAAAGGTATCTGATGTTAATTATGTTATGTGTGTAAGGCTTAGGAAAAGCAGGATCACAAGCAGGATCCAACGTAATGCCACAATTACGTTTGTTTCTGTGGTGTCTGATGGATTAGATTAGCTATTTAGAGATGGCAGAACTGGCATTTCCATTCC